GGGCGGTGGGGCGTGGTGGGTGGGGCTGGGGAGGGGCAGAGCCCGGTGCACCTGCTGCAGTTTCCATAGTAGCAGAGGGGGTGGGGCTGGCAGCGCCCCGCCCCACCGCGCCCGGCCCCGCCCCGCCCCGCGGGCATCTGCAGAGGTGCACCAGCCCTCCCTCCTCATTCCCCAGGTCCCCACCCCCCCCTCCCGGTGCCCACCCTCCCGCAAACTGCGGGCTCCACCTATTGCTCCAGGGCCGGCTCCTGGCTGATCTAGGTGAGGCTGCAGGTTCACTGGCCTGGCTTTGTCCTAAGGCCCAAGCTATGGGTTTCCTCTGCACAGGTGGCTCAGTGGTGGAGCGCTCGCCTTGCATGCATGAGGCCCTGGGTTCGATTCCTCAGCTCCACATAAGCAGAAGAGCTGAGGGACAGCGCCCAGGCCCAGAGCTCAGGCCCCACAACAGAAGCGAGACCAGGGCGGTCTGACCGCAGGCCTTCCTGTTGCTAACGTAACAGAACACCATTTATGAAGCAGGGCCCTCCCCTCCGGGGTTGCCTGCCTTCCTTTCCCTAGGTTGGAATTCGATTTGAAATTTGTAAGGAATCTGGTGAGCAAACCTTTGAGGCTGTGTGTGTGTGTGTGTGTGTGTGTGTGTGTGTGTGTGGAGGGGGACTGGGGCTTGAACTCGGGGCCTGGGCGCTGTTCCTGGGCTTTTTCCGCTCAGCCCTGGCACTTTACCACTTCCAGCTCTGGGGTGGTTACTTGGAGGTGGAGTCTCTTGGATTTTCCAAAGCCCGGCCATCAAACTTTACTCACCGTCTCCCTCCACTCTGCCTTTAGAACCATCCATCACTTTTGCCTGAATCAATTTCCCTGTGATTATACCAGTGAGTTTCTAACTTCATCTTCTATGTTAATTAGACACAGGCAGCGTTGTATTAACGTATATACGTTGTGCATCCATCCATCCAATCTTTAAGCATAGTATCATAGCTTGTTTTATTACCACCCATAACTGTGCTTAGGTGTTAAGATGCCCAGACACTCAAATCTGGAAAAGCTAGCCCTTCTGTCCTTTAACAGGATTTTTTTTTTACAGAAAGCTTATTGAAATATATTTGGAATGCAGTTTCACAACTTAATGACATATCTACACCCAGGTAACACATGACCCCCAAATGTTCCCATGTCACCCATTTCCAAGCAACCATGGTTCTGTTCTTGCACATCAATGTAGAATTTTATAAACATGGAACTAGACAGCAGCATGTGCTATTTTTTGGTCTTTAGAAGTATTTGAAATATATTCATGTGCTTGTGTGTATCCATAGTTCCTTTTTTATTCTCAAGTAGTATTCCACTGTAAAGACATAAAATTGTTTCTTTGTTGTTGTTGTAATTTATTTCTTAATAACATTATTTCTTCTGTGAAAGTTGGTTGGATTGAGCTTTCTGCCCCTACTGGCATCAATTGTTATATATTCTATCTGGGATCATAGAATGAAATCTAATGGCAAACAAAACTCTAACGGCTCATGTATAAGCCACTACGCGATTCACTGCTAATGTCAAGTTTCTTGTTAGAAACCATCATCCCGCGACCCCAGGGTAGAAGGCCCAGCTGGGACTCCAACATCTGCACACACCTCATTCCCCAAACTCTCACCTGTAAAGATGGTGCTCAGCTCAGTGCCTGTGGGAGGTGTTGGGAAGGAGAGTAGGTGGGGCCTAGAGAAAGGTCTTGAGCTCACTGGGGTCACGCTCTTGCTCTGGGGGTGGGATTACGGTGGGATCCCACCCTTTCCTCTTTGTCTTTAAATTTAAAAAATATAAGGACTTAAAAGGTTTAAACAAAATTAGAATCTAATTTTAACTTACAAATTAATGACACAAGGAAACTACTCAGTAACGAGTCTAATATTTTAATGCACAAAACCAACATCTGTTTAAAAAAAGTACCAATGAGTACCATCTACTTCTAAAGAAGTGTACAGACTTTACATCCTTTTGAACTCCTATGAGCACAAACATAAGTGCTCTCAAATTTTATCACAGATGGAAGTTCTCTTAATATATAGCTAACTTGGAAAGTAACTGTAAGATGATGAAAAATTTTAAAATTTTTTTTAAATTAAGAGACAATCCCAGATAATTAATGGATTAAACTCTGAAACTATTAGAGAAAAGAATGAATATTATGTTACACATGTAGATGGTAATAATCAGCTCAAACGGCACATAGGTAAGTTAAGAGTTTCAAATGCATTTAGTAAAAGACAAGAAGTCATGATACTCTGCTAGACCCAGGCTGGCTCTCATTTCTATTTCTTTAGATGTCTTTGCGAAATGGATAGAAGTATCTGTGAGTTCACACAGAACCTGTACACAACATACTTCTAGGCTTGGAGCTACTTATTGAGATTATGTGTTAGCCTTGTTAGCTAGATAAGAAAATACAGCTCCTATTAAGAACTAACTTTACTATCTTTAAATTATAATAATGGATTAAAAAAAACACTAATAGAGGTTCCATTTTCTTTTCTTGACCTAATAAGTCATTTAATGCTAGCTCATTGCCATTTTTCTTCTTCTGGATAATTATGTTTTTCCTCTATTATAATATCCAAAAGATTTCACTACAAATCAAGGTTATGAGAGGATTTAGAGACCATGGGGTTTCCTCTTATGTTTATTATCTTCAAATTTTCGGAAATAAATTTGTAAAATCTGTAATATATTAGCTCATAAAGATGAAATTATTTCTTAATTTCTTGGTATTTTTGCATTACTGTGTCCTTCACTCTACCACCCACCCATTTTAAACAGAAAAGACAATTTTATACTTAGCGTGGATTACCAGATATGTAATATGCTGTTATCAAATGACAATAACATCACTCTGTGTGATGTTAGCATTATGGAAGTTGGATTAGAGTTATAGAAGTTGAATTTCACCTGCATCTCTCATGGAGAATCTGTATATTCAGATTAACATTGCCATCAACAAACTATTATAGATGAATGGATATTTTCCAACACATTGTATTATACTTTTATAATTGAAAATGCAGGTGGGCATGGGAGGGAAAAACAGTGCAAGGGATGACACTGTCCAAAAAGAAATGTACTCTTTCTTTACCTGACTTTTGTAACTGTAACTCCTCTGTTCATCACCTTTCTAATAACAATTTAATTTTTTAATGCAAATATGTGAAAGGTAAGGTAACTAACTGTAAGTTAACTTACTGTAAAAAATACAAAATAATAAACATTTAATAATAACGTGACCATCAGACACAGTATAAAGTTGAATAGACTGAAAGAACTTTGCTCTTGGTCTGAAAGAACATGGGCCTTCTATTCCACATGTGATGATAATGTCACATTTGTTGTGGACCAAAGGGAACAACTCTCAATGGATGAAAGGAATCATGATGGTCTTTAGGAAAAAACATTTTTCTTTACATTCAGCCCCAAATTCTAAGGTGAACTCATCACATGTATCTACACAAAAGAGAATGGTCTTCAGGGAAAGGCAGACGTGTTGCACACATGGGTGCAGCAAAGGCATCCATGGGAAGGATGGAAGTGTCCTCCACGCTTCTACCCCCTCCACACAGGCATGGCCCCACTGACTACGGTCCTGACAAACACACAGACACAGGCAGGGCTTTGCTGAAATGTAAAGCTCACCGGGAGAGGTCTGTACAAACTGGCCTTCAACACACGCCAGCCTCTGGCCTATGCATGGTGTAGCGTCTGAGGGACTGACCGCATGTGGGGCAGAGATAAGCAATGCAGAAGAGAGAGTGCACGGACTGTCCACCAGCCAAAACCCAGCCCTTCCCTCCACCTCTAATATGGGATTGGACATCTCCAAAAGTACCAATGTATTGATTTGAAAAAAAAGTTTTCAGTCATCACCCAAGGAGAAAGGTTGTTTATTGCAATATAGAACATGATTTGGTAACGATCTGTTGAAATTGAAGATTGGGGCAAATTTCAAGAAAGTTCAAAACTAACACGGTGCATCACTAAAAAGACTGTTTTATTGTTATAAAGTGATAACAAAATTATAAAATAATCTATATGCTAGATGACTAGAGATGAGTTTTTTCCTAATAAAATTACCGTACAGAAAATATACATTTATATGGTTTTATAATAAGTGTAATATATAATTGGTTAGGGAACAACTTGCATTTTAAAAGAAACAAATATTAAAGAAATGCTTTTCTTAGAAATAAATATTAAGGAAAACATACCAATAAAAGTTGAACATATATAAAACACAATGATTTAAAGCACTGAGTAGTGAAGATCATTGTGCAGATTCATTGATTTTAATACTTACCACTAAGATTTAGTCTTTAAAAATATAATTCAGTCTCTTGTTCACTCTTTAAAATGTGAAGAAGTCTTGTTCTTGCCATGACATTTTTTTTTCCCCAAAGAATGAGAATAACGATTTTTAAAGAAGCTGGAAGAATGAAATTCTAAGCTGGAATGAAATTCCTAATAAAAGTTATCCTGTTAGAAAATTAAAAAATAATGTCAATATATTCACACTTATTACTAAGATATTGTTGATTCTACTTTATATGGTATGAGGTATAAGTTGAGTATTATGATTCACAAAACTCTTATTGAGTCTTATTATTTAAATTGCACAGGTGAAAATGGTAAGGCAAAGAAATTTCTATAAGGCAGATTTTTTTTTTTTTTGGTCCAGTTGTGGGGCCTGAACTCTGGGCCTGGGCGCTATCTCTCAGCTCTTCAGCTCAAGGCTAGCACTCTACCACTTGAGCCACAGCGCCACTTCTGGCTTTTTTCTTTTTGCGTATGTGGTGCTGAGGACTCGAACCCAGGGCCTCAGGCATGCAAGGCAAGTGCTATACCACTGACCACCTTCCCAGCCCCAGATATATTTTTTGACCATGAGAGTCGACACAAACTTTGCAAACCCTCTGCCATGCATTTCTGTTACAGTTGAGTGGTTGGATGTGTTAAAGTGTCACGTCCTCACTCCTTTTCTAACCAAGAGTTTATTCGTTATTGAGACATGACTGGCCACTGAAGCTCTATTTCCAAGTCTTACTTTGAGAAGTTGTCTTCTCCCAGGGAATGAAGACTGTATCCCCACATGCTGGAAGAGAGACGGCTTGTACCGAATACGAACTTTGTGCTGCCGTTGCTTACAGTCTTCCTGGGAAAGAGGACAAACAAGAATCTCAGAAGGCTCCTTCCTGTTGCATTTGCTGATGGCAGACTTTTTACTATATCAGTTTTTGCTGGGCTACTACATTATTATGTTTTTTCAATTAAACAAAAATGTAATTGTTAGCTCTTTCTTCCCAGCAGAGAAACAGGGTAAGAGAAGGCTTTGGTCAAAGCCTGTATTTCTTATGATTCTTGTCTTGGAAAAACAAACTACTTTTCTATGAGCTAAATTTTTCTTTCTTCTGTTCTGATAACTTACATAAAATGTGTAGTTTTTTCCCCCTGCCTATCCATTTCAGCCAGGTGTCATTGTGTCTAGCTTTCTCTTCCTGTATTCATTATGACTGAAATTTCTTCTTCAACAATAATATGATTATCAACAATAAACATGTAAGATTAAAGTACAGAAGCTATGTGATATTTAATGGGGAAGAACTGTGATATCAATAAAAATATAAATATCTTTTAAATGACTAACACCAATCTTATTAAAAGCAAACGTGTAGCTGACATGTAGTCCAGTGGTAGCACAGTCTCTAGGCTCTGGGTTCAGTCACCAGCAGCATAAAACCAAACTAAAACAAAAATATATCTGAAATGATATTGTTATTGGAGGGTTCTTTTCTAGACTTTGTACAATGCAGAGTTATTTAGTTCACCTATTTCAACCTGAATGGGTGTGGACAGTTTGGGATTTTTGAGGTCAATTTCATTTTCATGGTGAAGAATTTATGCACTATAATTGTTTGCAGTGTTACCTGGTTAACCACTAAAGCCTATGTAAGTATCATGATCCTATTTTGTTTTGTAGATCTAAAGGCCACTTGGATCTTAATATATGAACTCGTATAAAGTTCCTTGATTATTGTTTTCATGGTCTTTACTTTTCCCATCTATTTATTTTAATCCATACTTCATGTTTGAACCAAGAATAGCAAGAAATACTTTTAGGAAATCTGCTCTTAGCATCTCTCAATTGAGTATATTTGACCATTTATATTTAATGTAAGTATGGAGGGTTTAGAATTCTATTTTTTGTTACTCCCTATTTTTTTATTCTTGTGTTTATAAGTTTCTCTACAATTTTGTCCTCTTATCACCTCATTAATATTGGGGCATCTTAATTAAAAATTTTGATGGTGGGCTGGGAAGGTGGCTCAGTGGTAGAGTGCTTGCCTTGCATGCCTGAGGCCCTGGGTTTGATTCCCCAGCACCACATATGCAAAAAGAAAAAAGCCAGAAGTGGTGCTGTGGCTCAAGTGGTAGAGCGCTAGCCTTGAGCTGAAGAGCTGAGGGACAGCGGCCAGGCCCAGAGTTCAGGCCCCACGACCCCCCCCAAAAAAATTTGATGGTATCATCAGATTCAGTTTGGTAAGAAAATATAGGTAACTACAGTAGAAAGATAGAATGTTCTCTAAATATTTCATATGTATTAAGTAATACTCACATAAGGTTCCTTTGTTTCACACACTTTTACATAAAACATGTCCTCCAGGAGCAAATCTATGGGCTTATCTTGGTAGAACATTAAGAAAAAACGCACAAAGCCAGGCAGGTCCTCGGATCGAAACAGTTTTCCTGTGAAGAAAAGTAAATGGTATGCAAGAAGCTTATAAACAGCACAAAGATATCCAGAAATGACTTAAAACTATATCCCATCCTTCAGAAACACATTTTACAAAATCATTGATGGTCCAAGATGATAAAGTGAAGCCTTATTATCTGCTTAACCAGTTATGAAAGAGTATACGCAAGCTGAGCTTAACATCCAAGAAGCCACTTCTGACTTCACATGCCGTCCGTTGGTGAGGCAAAGCCACAGGGTTGCATTACCTGCAAACTGTGGTGGTCTTATCTAACTACCTATGACCTCATCACTTCTGGCACTTAATTCTTATTCAAAATGTTCTAGCGTATAGGGAGGGATGGGTAGGGGAGGGAAGGGTGAGAATGTTGAAAGGGGTGATATTGTTCAACGTGTATTTATAAACTGCTTTGTTATATGGCATCTCCTTGGTATAACTACTTAAAAAATTAAAAGCGTTCTATTTCAATATGTGAGCATTCCTTTGTCAGAATTTGAGTTTAATTAATGATCCTTTTAAATAATTCACTCATTTTTATCTGTAGGTAGCTAGGTATACAAAGGGGTTTCATTCAACACACGGATTTACGAGTACAAAGCATCTTCATCAGTGTCACCCATCACTGGCCTCCTTACCTAGCCTGACTGCACCCATCCATTCTTAGTACCTCATTCTATTCCTAATAATGACTAATGATGCCCTACATTAAAAAAAAAACATGATTCAATAGGTGTGACTACTGTTTTTAATATGCTGTTTTTAAGATGAAATAAGAGGGAGACTACTCAGTCAAAAGTTCACGCTCCATAAGCGATGCAGAATGCTTATGAGCTGTCTGCCGGCACGCCGCCCTGCTCCTAGATCAGAAGCTGGAGTCTCGCTATCCCTGCTCCTATCCCTGCTCTGTCAGCCAGCATCAAGCCAGGGGCTTTAGTCATGGAAATGTAAGTTTTCGTTCATTTCCTCACTTGCTGTGAGTTCAATTTTTTTGTTTTGTTTTGTTTTGTTTTTGCCAGTCCTGGGGCTTGAACTCTGGGTCTGAGAGCTGTTGCTGAGCTTCTTTTGCTCAAGGGTAGCACTCTACCACTTGAACCACAGCACCACTTCTGGATTTTTTTTTTGAGTAGTTTATTGGAGATAAGAGTTTCACAGGCTTTCCTGCAGCCTGGCTTCAAACCGTGATCCTCAGATCTCAGTCTCCTGAGTAAGATTACAGATGTAAGCCACTGGTACCTAGCTCTGTCATTTCTCTTTCTTCCTTCCCTTCCCTTCCCTCCATCCTTCCCTTCCTTCCTTCCTTCCTTCCTTCCTTCCTTCCTTCCTTCTTTATTTTTGTTTCTTTTGGATAACTAATAAGCAACTGTTATTATAAACTGGCATTAGTTGTTAAAAAGCTTGATCCCAACAATATAGATCTATTGCTTACCTATAAATCCAATCACTGTAAACTCAATGAAAAACCAATTATTTGGAGCAATATTATGCACATAATTTGCCATTTCTTTAAAGAACATCCTTTTAGCTATGATGTCATCTTCTAGCTGAAAAATATTCAAACCAACAACAAAAAAGGAATTAGTCCTTTGATACTTCTGAGTCAATTATTAGTGTGTAGGTAGACAATACTTAAAATAGGATACACTGAAAGAAGGTTCTAGTGAGGAAATTATTGTTAGTGTAATTCCCTGAGGACATTTGAGTCAGATAAATTTCTTTTTCTGGCTCTGAGACTAGCCAGATCACAGTATCTGTTTCCTAAATGCTAACCTGCAATATTCAATTTAAGTCCTTGCATTGTTTGACTGCATTTTCATCTTCACAGATACCCTGGTTCTAGTGCATCTGGGCTATTACAACAAAACACTACAGATTAGTTTATACACAATGGCCATTCATTTCTCATAGCCCTGGAGTCACGGAAGTCCAAGATCCATGCACTGTACACATCCATAGATCTGGAATCTGGTATCCGGTCTCTCATGGGCATGGACTTCTGCATGTCCTCAGGTGGGGAAAGGGGCCGGAAAGACTTCTCCACTTCTTTGATAAGTACACTAATCCCAATTATTAGGGTTCTGACCTCCAGCCCTTATCACTTCCCAAGGCCCTAATTCTGAGATTAGGAATTTAGGATTTCAACAGAGGAATCTGGGGCAGAGACACAACATCTAGCGCATGGCAGAAATGAACTTTGCTTCCTGCCACATGCAAGTAGCAGCTACTGTGGCTGACTGAGTGGTTTTTGGCTGGTAGATGACAGTCCACCCGCCCAGGGCCGGCTGCCACTGTGGTGTGAGGACAAGGCCACTGCAGGGAGAAGCAGAGCAGGAAACAAGGGCCTTTTGTTGTTAATGTAATGTGTATCTTGTGTGATCAACAGAAGAAAAGGACTCCTCAATAAGTGGGAGGAAAATGAAAGTTCTCAGTCAAAACAGAACTGTGGCATTTCCGACTGGAGAGAACCCCTGGCAGGATCTTACGTTTCTATGACCTTGCATCCAATAAGGAACAGAAAAGGATTTTTAGCCCCGTAAGGACAAAGGCTTTTGCCTTTCTGTAACTTTCACCAGTAACATTCCAAAATCTCTTTTCAGAGGTACACATGGTCTATGTAGTCACATAAATCAGATACTTTTGCAGTCGTAAACCACAACACTACTGCCGGAAAATCTGCAGTAATTGAGCGGTAAAAATTACACACGGCAGATTTATCTTTACAAATATACTAAGGCCTCATGGGACCATGTTGCTCACAATGTGTGAGCCAATGTGGGGTAAATGCCAGGCACATACAATGGTGACAGGTATGACAGCGTAGGCCTGTAGGCCCAGCACCTACAAGGCTGAGACAGGAGGCTCCCGAGGTCAGTCTAGGCTCTACAGTGAGTTCCTGTCACCAACAGACTTATTTAGTCTAGTAAAATAACGGGCAGGAAAACGTATACACTTTAGATTTTCTTTCCAGAATGCATAACGTTACTGTAATTTTCCCCATTACAGTACACCCCATGGAAGATTATGGTAGAGTCAACTTCAAGCTTCTCTTTGGTGCCCTCATACAATAAGCATTTTCTATTTTTGAGGTACAAAGTAAGGCAGAAGACTGACCACAAGGAGGAAGGAAGGAGTTACAGGAGAGAGAGAAAGGAATACTGAATTTCACAAAAAAATAACATATATGGCAAGTTTTCACCTGCAGGTAATACATGGCTTTGGGCTGGGCATACAGCATCAAAATACAAAAATCCAAGACTTGTTTCGTGTACAACCTAAAGATAAACAACAAAATTGGTCATTATTTTCATTATTATTTAGTTGGTAAGCCACCCTCTAAAAGTCAACTTCTTATAGTTAACTGACAAAGTTGATGCTGCGTGCTGGTGGCTCATCCCTGTCATCCTGGCTACTTAGGAGGCTGGGATTTGAGGATTGCAGTTTGAAGCCTGCCCAGGCAGGAAAGTTCCTAAGACCCTTATTTCCAATTGCTATCCAACAAGCCAGAATAGATTGGCTCAAGTGGCAGAGTGCCAGCCTTGAGCCAAAAAAGTTAAGGGACAGCATCTACCTCCTGAGTTCATGCAGCCGAACTGGCACAGATCAATCCATTGATAAAGTTGAGTGTGTTTCTATTAAGCTCACATAACAAAAAGCTTACTATCTTTATTCTGTAGGTATTGTCTCCTTTTACTAAACTATGGCAAAATACAATCTACATTTTACTTTTCATGTGGTTAAATTTTGGACTAAGTGATAAAGTCCATGTTCTTTCTGGTATTAGGTCTTGTTCATATGAAAGCATAAAGCTGGATTCTAGGTCTTGTCCTGAAAACACCAAGAACTAAATCTGCAGTGCAGCTCTTGCTCTTCTGAATGGCAGAATCTCACATGAAAAGATGCAAACTTAAGAAAACGAGAGCAACTGAGAAAGTTCAACATGCAGATGTGAACACTAGGGGCCAACTCACAGCGCAATGGGGTGGGTGGGGGAGAAAGCGCCAGGGACTGCCTGTGTAGAAACACGACTCACTACTGCGCAGGTCCGAAGCACGGAAGAGCAGACATATGGTTTCAGACCCGAGGAAAAAGAGGCTGATGGGGCCAATGCGTGCGCGGAGACTAAAACACAAGGGACCTCAGCAAGTATGAGTCTCATCTCAGGTGAAAAGCAGACAGATGTGGGGTTACCGTGGGGAGAAAGGCCGTGAGGGGAGCAGGGCAGGGCTAGGGCTGGGGAAAGGCCACTGCCCAGGCAGGGGAGTAGAGGGGAGAGGGACCTGGCAGGAGGGGAAGGGCTGAGTGTCCCCTAGCTTTCTGAGCCAGGAAACTGGAGCATATTCATATTTAATTTTTGAAATATTTCTAGATTCTGACATACCACATATAAAATTTTAAAACAGAACCAAGTTAATAGGATCCCACAGAAAAAATCTTTTTAAGCCTGATCCTCAGCAATGTGTCTTTCTCTCTTTATTAAGTTTTGAGCAACCAAATTGTTACATTTCCTATCCCATCTACCACAATAGGAAGGTAGTAGTAGGGGGCTGGGTTGAGCCCAGGGCCTCTCAATCACTCAGCTTGATTGGTAAATGGGAGCTCTACCACTTAAGCCTCACCTCCAGAACTGCTTTTTATGGGCTGATTCGGAGATGGAGTCTCGTGGACTTTTCTGCAGTGGATGGCTCTGAACCATGATCCTCTAGCTCTCAGCCTCCTAATGAGCTTGGCTTCCAGGTGAGCCATCCGTGGGCACTAAACCCCCAATATCAGTTTACCTCACCACAATACATACCCTTATAATACTCCCTGTGGCTTACGTTTACCTTTACAGGGTGTTTACATTTTTGAGGCTCTTTTATAGCATTTCATCGTGTATAGTGGGAAGATAAGGAAATGAAGGATCAAAGACTAACCGACCTGCCTGGGACATCCAGGATGGGGAGGAGCAGAGGCTAGAGTCCTGATGCAGTGATTTATAATCCCTGCTCCCTACCTGCTTTGTGGGTGGAATCATCAGTCTACAAATGTAAGCAAAGACAACTCGCAGATGTACCAGCAAGTGGGGGAGTTGGAGATGCCGGATGTGGCTTTGCCCATTTCTGTGGTGTAAGTACCCCTGCTGTGGCTGATCTCATGCCACCACCCCACCTCCCCGGCCTGGATGACACACAGTGGCAGGTTTTGCAGCCAATTCACCTGGCTCAGCTCTCTCTCTCTCTCTCTCTCTCTCTCTCTCTCTCTCTCTCTCTCTCTGTGTGTGTCTGTCTGTCTGTCTCTCTCTCTCTCTCTCTCTTCCCCCCTTTCATCCCCTCTCCTTTCCTCTCCCTCCCTTCCCCTTTCTCGATCCTTGCTCTCTCTCCCTCCCTCTCTCTCTTTTTCGCTCACTGGCTGGTGCTCTACCAGCTGAAACACTGCTGCAAACCCTCAGCCCCTTGGTGCCTGAGGAAGAATCTGCAGTGCTCTCCCCGCTTCAGGGAGGAGGCAGGGCACTCAGCAGCCGTCTTGAAGGCTCCCTGGCTTACCCTACCTTTTCATTTGTGCATGCCCAGTCACCGTCTCGTTGCTGAGGACCAGGTTTGGATAGAAGAAAGTGGGTATTGTAATGACTTCTATGCTCCCCATCTGCACGTACCAACTGAATCTAAACACACACACACACAAATAGAGGCTGATGATTCAATATTCAATTCATCAAAATGACAAGTACTTACATAACTTTATGCCTGTCTATATGATATTTTGCTTTGAATTATTTCATATGTTAATACATGATATTAAAGTGCTGAATTTTATAAAGACAGGAATATCACAAATTTAAACTAGCTTAAAATTAACAAAGAAGATAGGAATATGGCTTCTGAACTAGGAGACTGGGGTTGGCCCATGGGGGGAGCATGTACTTTGAGCATCTTTATTTTTTTAAAGTTGATAGCAGTATATCAATTAAGGACACCACCAAAATACATTAAATACTTCTCGCAAAAGTTGTTTTTTTCAGGGCCAGAAACTGAACCCAGGGCCTTGCACATGCGAGGCAAGAAATCTAACATAGCCCCATCCCCAGGCCTTCCATAGAAATATCGTACCATCAAGGCCAACCATGGAAGGCCAGGTAGAAAACTACACATGATCTTTCTTTAGAGATAAATGATGTGACTTTTAAATGGTATTTAAATGTAGGCATTATGATATTAATATATTGAATCCTCAAGGAAATGTTTATTTTTTACTGTACAAGGAAATCAGGATAAAGATTTATATGAATAACACAATTTGTGTACATTGTGCAGCATAATAAATGAGCTTTATGGTATTTTCCCACACATTTATAGTTCACAGAAAAAGAATGATATTCTGATAAATGTTCAAAGGTGCAAAACAATTATGGTATTTCTCTCATTGATCACTAATATTACTTCCTATCTTTCCTTCCCTACCTCCATTTCATTTCTTAGTTTTCTCTTTTCTTTCTCTTCCTCCAACCCCTTTTCTTATTGTATTATTCTAATTAACTTTACAACTACTGATACACTCAAAAGATGCAGGGTCAGCTAAGGATGGAGACCTATGTATACCTGTGTTTCTTGTGGCACCATTCACAATAGCCAAATTACAGCATCAGTGTAGGTGCCCTTGAAGAGATGACTAGATAAAATCTCTCTCTCTCTCTCTCTCTCTCTCTCTCTCACACACACACACACACACACACACACACACACACGGGGGTTTTCAGCCATTTAAAATTTTGCCATTTTCTGTAAAATGGTTGGAATGAGAAATAATCTTTTTTAAAATAAGCCAGTCCCACAGAGACAAATACCATGTTTCCTCTCACTTGTGGAAGCTGGCGGGGAGGGGCAATAAAACATGGTAAGGTCACAGACAGACAAGGGTGACAACAGGGAGAGGAAGGGGAGGGGAAGGAGGAGGACAGACAGGGATAAGAAAGAGCAACTGAGGGGTGACTCGGATCAAAGGATGTTAGTACGCATTGTAGAAATGTCATGATGAAACCTCTTACTTTGTATGAATTAATACATGCCAATGAAAAGGACTGAAATATTTTTTTAAAATTCCAAGTAGTTATGTACCCTTCAGAGTAAGAAATGTTCTGGAAATCTAAACCATAAGAATTGTACAGCAATTGAAAACAGTGGAGGCAAATGAAACTAGCATCAATGATAGCCATGCAATCATCCAACATGGTCCTAGAAATACAAATGTTAAGTGACAAGTAATTTCTTCTTCCCATCACTGATGAAAAGAAAGATTCTAGCCTGGTGTGGTGATACCTGTCTTTTCTAGCATGCATCACAGGTTAGAAAGATATATAGGTTCATTCTCCACTTCTGTATTCATTACAAGACCATTCATAAACTATAGCATAATTAGGCAGAGAGTAAAGCAGGAGAAAAATGAAAGAATGGCTAGTTTTTAATTTACCAGGTGGTACTTACTTTTTCTTAATCATTTTCACAACAGAATTTAAATAATCTTCATTATTCTAAAAAGGAAAAAATATTGAAACTGAGTAAATCTCCTAGTTTTATTTTTTTTATTTTTTATTTTTTTTGGGTCCGGTTGTGGGCCTGAACTCTGGGCCTGGGCACTGTCCCTCAGCTCTTCAGCTCAAGGCTAGCGCTCTACCACTTGAGCCACAGCGCCACTTCCGGCTTTTTTTTCTTTTTGCTTATGTGGTGCTGAGGAATCGAACCCAGGGCCTCAGGCATGCAAGGCAAGCACTCTACCACTGAGCCACCTTCCCAGCCCCTCCTAGTTTTATTGATACAACATTTTTGCAACCTGTCATTTAGGTATAGAATGTTATGTCCTAACCATTTCTAGTGTTTTCTCACTTTTATGAGAGCATTTAAAATATAGACATTGAATACAGAACATGTCACCATACTATAGTAGGAAATACTGCTTTGCATTAATTATATTTAAAAATTACTATACAAAAATCTTACTGTCTGTAAGTGTTCTGCTCCAAAAAGTGTTACCTGAGAATGAATTGCTTCAGAGAACTATTCTTTTAGAAAACATCTTCAGTTGGTGGACATGATTTGACAGTAAGCCTAATTCAGAATGATTGGATGTTTTCCCACACAGTATAATTCAGAGCCGTTCCCCAGGTTTTCAGCCTGTTAAGATGCTTTCTAAATCTGATCCTTGAACATAGAACCGTGTGCTAGACTGGATGACAGACTCTTCTGTAACGTGCTTTCTGTAGTTTACCCTCTCAGGATGATATTTATAAAATAAAATGGATGGCAATATACACAAAATATAGCAGTACCGCCCATTAGCAAAAAAAAAAAAAAATTCTGGGAATACTTTGTAGGCCAACAGTCCTCTGATCAAACCTAACCATGTTGAAAGACAGCACTAAATGCCTGAAACCAGGATGCATTTTCTAATGTGTAGGAGAGTTTCGTAAGCAACAGTCCACTGACAATTCTTAAAACAAGTCTTTACTCTGTGCAGTGCATGGGACTAAGTAGAAGTGCTCTAGATTTATTAGCCCATCTCATTCCCAAACACCCCTGTGGAAGAGTAACATTATCATCACTGTTGTACAGGTGAGGGAAGGGAAGTGCAGAGCAGTTGGGTGCACTGTCTGTGGTTACCAGCAAGGAAGCGGAGGGGCTTGCATCTATGCCTCGGAACCCATGTTCTCAGGGGTCCTACTCTTTGGCCATATTTTTATTGGGTTTAAACCCTTGATGGGTTATTTCCAAAGGAATTTGAATTTTCAAGGCAAAAGTCCCATATGTTGTAAATGGGATACATGTTGCCAAATTCCCCTTTGGAAAATTTATGCCGTTAATACTTACAGTGGTACTCAAAATTTCAACAGATACATGGATTAGGGTTTTAAAGTTTTTTGAAGCTATTAGACCTAGATGTGAATCTATTAATCCCTGGGCAGATTCCTCTTCGAAGTTGGATCTGCTCCTCTCTCTGTAAAATCAGGGCAGTGATACTCTCGGTGAGGCCCTGGGGCGTGGGGCAGAGGCCTTCAACTGTTGGCGGTTAGTCCTGCGTTCACCTCTGGACTTGGACGCCCACCTTTGATTGAGGAAGCAGCTTTTGTTTCATCACAGTAGTTGTCCATTTTAGAGTTCTGTTTATAACATAATTTCTATATTTTACAGTGTCCAGGGATCCTACGCTAAATGCAATTCAAATTTAGCCAATGTGTATTTCCCACATTGTGTTTTCTTTAGAGATTTGAATGTTTTTTTCTCTTCTCATCAAAGCATGTATGTTTTTTTAAATTATTATTCTTTAAAAGTTGCTACTGGCCTGGTGATTCTGTGGAGGGAGGAAGGGGGGGTCATCGGGAGAGGAGGACCAGGCCTCCGTACGTACGTCTGCGATGGACACAATGACCACAGCGTCCTCTGCCTCAACGGTCGTCATCCTGGAGACCAGGGAGGTGAGTGTGTAGGTCAGGTAGCTGTGGTTTCCTCGGCTGACCGTGGGGATGCCCAGGGCGAAGGACACTGCGCACAGGAGACAGGGGCGGGGGGGGGGGGGGGGGGGGGGGCGGGGGGAGCCCCCCCCATTTCTAAATGAAAGGGGAGGCTGGGAAGGGAACGGGGAGGAACCGGATGGGACGGTGGGGGGGGGGGGGGGGGGGGGGGGGGCGTGGCTGCGGTCACTGAGCAGAACCAAGCCCCCTGTGGGGGTTGGTCTCAGCATTACAGAAACAATGCAAATCACGGACCCTACTTCTGGCACCTCTCCCAATTCTGTGCAAGGAAACTCCCATTTGCAGCGGACAGCAAATCATATTAAAGGTATTAAGCGGGCGCCATGTTTTCTGATGGGGAGATTTTGACACGACAATCAAACACTTCCTATTTATTATAGCTTTCATCTGTCTAACTCGGTACATGCCATTTTACAGTGGCCAATTCTTTCCTGCTTTTCATAAAGAGATGCTGGAACCCCCATTCAGGGTTTCATCCGTCCTTCCTTCCTTCCTTTTTCCTTCCTACCTTTCTTTCTTTCTTTCTTTCTTTCTTTCTTTCTTTCTTTCTTTCTTTCTTTCTTTCTTTCTTTCCTTTCTCTCTTTGTGGCAGTACTGGGGTTTGAACTAAGGCCCTTGTGTTTGCTAAGCACTTGATTCTATCACTTGATAGAATCCCATTTTTTGCTTTAGTTATTTTTCAAATAGAGACCCACATGCTTGTGCATGATTGGTCTTGGGCCGAGATCTTTCTACCTATGGCTCCTGTGTTGCCGAGATTACAGGCATGCACCACCTCACCTGCTCTCAACTTTCACATTAAAGACTATAATTTACCAAACATTATTTTTTATGAACAGCATAAATTAGAAATCAAACTTGGAAACTGAGAGATCCTCTATGAATATAATTCCTGACCTGGCTCCCCTTGAGTTTGGATCTTAAAAAAAACAAACCTATATTTCCAAGTGTGTTTGAGGCCCTTATGACCTAGTTGTGACTTATCTCTTTTGCATGAACTTTCTCCTCCTCCCAAACTGTCTGCACACTACCTCTGGGCCTTTGAACATGCCCTTTCTTGTTTGGTAGAACGTTCTTGTTCCTCCAGGCTAATTCCACACGTTATTCTGGGTTCGGCTAAGCAGCCATTTTGATGCCAGATTCACACTAACTCTGTCTGCTGAGGAACATGTTCCCCTGTCTCTCCTGGCACTCAGCTCATCCCTCTTGCCGTCATTACCCTGCCTACTCGGTGAGTGCAGTTCTGCCTGTCTGGCTTGCTCCCCATGATACATCAACACTTAGAGAATTCCTGACACCAGCAGGGTCACTAAACTTGGGGTAAATAAGCTAATGGCCCGCCCCGTCACCAATCACCATTTGGCTTCTTCTTATTTTGCTACTGACAACCCCAGCCCAACTGTACGTGCAAACCTGTATATACATTTCTTTTCTAGACCTTCCTGCTGTGGCAGCTTTACATATTTCTTCTCCTCCATGTGATGACCAACTTCCACTTTCCCGCCATCTGCCTCCTGCCTTTTCGCTATTTTGCCTACCCCTAATTCTTTTTACTCTCGTGTTAGTTTGATACCATTTCCTTCAAATACTCCCCTTCGTTTTCTTGGTGTGGGTTGCCTGCCCCCACCAGAAGATTCCCACTAAGCGCATGGATCGTTTTCCCCACATGTGACCTGCTCATTTAGCGCTATCAGAGGGATCCCCATGTTTTGGTTGCAATTCTGTCCCTATGGGCTAATGAGCTCTCAGAACAAAGCAGCAGCTGGCCAAGGGAGGGCAAGGAAAGACTTCCCACAGAAGCCATGATGTGGGTTGGGAAGTCATGGAGTCACATGACCTGAGGATGGGCTGGCAGGTAAGGGAGTCACATGACCTGAGGATGGGCTGGCAGGAGCCCGGGCTTCTCCCCACCAAAGGCAGTGCTCAGCACTGCAGAAACCCACCTTCTACAGATGGTCCTTAGCACAGCTGAGTTTACCCCGGGCCCACGCCAGGGCTCCTGGGGAATTTGAAGCAAAAGCTGCGCATGATCAGTTAGGAATTTTAGTGGCACGCCTCAGGGAAGTGAAGGAAAAATAGATTGACTCTAGCAATACTGAATCCATAAGAAAACATTTAGATGTGCTTTGATGACAGGCAAGAAATCACAAGGGCACTCAAAAATAGTAAGGGGAGGGCTTACAGAGAACCTGAGAAGACAGGAAAGAGATTCTCCAGGAGGACATGTTTCACCAGAGCCAAAATCGCCTTTCAATTGTCTTTGCTAGTTGAGAAACATCACCAAAAGGGCCTCAAAGGGAAGATGTCGATGTACTCATGCTGTGTGCTGACCAGGACACACGCAGAGAGCTGGGAAATCACTCTCCCTAACGCCATCACCTCTCACCGGCCTTCCGCTCCCTCCGCTCAGGGCCCCTGCTGCCATCAGCTTATTCTCGGCTACTCTTCTCCTTGCTGTCTAGCATCTTACGGCTTCGACATGCTTTTTCTGCTGTGTTCCAGCGTCTCTTCCCGAAAACTTAGCTTTTGTCTAGCATACAGTGTTATACTCATACATCAAAGCACGTATTCCTACAACATTTAAATGTGACATTCCAGACTCTCTAAAGAACTAATCTGATGCAGTTCAAGACACCTCAAGTGCGAGATCAAAAAGTTCCTTGGTCTCCTTAAGGCTCAGCTTTCTCAGGTATATAGACACGGAACTATACTTGAAATAAAGAATATACTGTCTCAGTCTGAGGAATACAGTAAGATAACATTAATAAATGCTAACCCATGTCATCCGGCACCAACATCCCAATATAGTAGACATGGTTAATCCCTATAGGCATGTGATATGGAATGTTACTAACGCCCAAGACCTGCTTATGGTGTCTGTCAGTAAATTTTTCCAGTGAAAGGTTAGATTGTGATATCTTTTTGCTTTTTGTGTGTTTGTTGTTATTGTTTTGTGCCAGTCCTAGGGCACTGGGCACTGTCCCCAAGCTTTTGTCCTCAAGGCTAGTGCTCTACCACTTGAGCCACAGCTTCACTTCCAGCTGTTTTGTAATTTGGCACAGATGAGCCTCATGGACTTTCCTGTCTGGTCTAGCTTTAAACCGCAATCCTCAGATCTCAGCCTCCTGAGTAGCTAGGATGACAGGCGAGCGCCACTGGAACCTAGCCAGATAGTAAGGTTTGTGACTCTCAGGCCACTGTCTCTGTGACAACCACTCGATCTGCCATGACAGCACAAAAGCAGACAGTTACCAAGGAAACCAGTGGGCCTGGCCATGTTCTCCCACTGTGGGCTCACCCACTGGAACCAATGGGGTTTATTCTGAGCCGTGGCCCAATGTCACGGGGCTTTCTGAAACCCTCGTGCCTTTCCCTGTCATGTTTGTCTGCTGAGTTTAAACTCATGCTTCAAGGCTGAGGCCAAACAGCCCTTCCACAAACCTTCTGCTGACCTTGGGCTCAAGAAAGACAGGGAGCAGGAAAACAACCAGGTAAGGACAATTCCTACCAAACCCAAGGCGAAGAGATCTGTCATGCACTTTGAAAACTCCCTATGTACACATGACTTACATTGCCTTATTTTCAGAACATCTGGAATGACACAGAATTTGAGTTCCTCACAGAACATTCTGACTTCTGGTCATCCAATGGCACTGGCTGGTGGTCCACATATCTGAGTATGGTAGAGGTAGCGTATACTGCTGGACATACAGGTATATCCCCAAACATGCACTTAACTTCCAGATTTGAAATATTCTTACCTCCTTTTTTCCCTTTGCCAATGACAACGTTAGGGTACAGTCTACCGAACTTCCGGAGGTAAGGGAGGAAGAACTTCATGTCTTCGAATCTGTCAGCTGCGGTGGTGACATTCTCACTCAATCTGTCCCCTTCCTCCTTGGCTGAAAGACTGTGATAGTTTCTCTCTGATACAATTTTTAAAATGAAGTTTAACATATGAATATACAGATTAATAGGCTAGTCAAGGGAACTATACTCTTTTATTAGCAAATATTGACCATACAAAGGAAGGGGGTTCAGTGTGCTATTTCCACACTTGCATATAATGGGAAATGTGAATTGTCACGATTCTAGGCCTATAAAATATAGCTCAAAGATGATTAACAATAATATCTGCCCCATCAATTAGAGCCATGTTCAATTTAAGCCTTGCTCTATGACCTGTGCCAGCGGCCCAAAGGACAGCCCGCTCCAGGGGAAGGAAGTCCAGCAGGGACAGGCCGCCACTGGGTCCTCTGCTGCTCTGAGCAATAGCATGACATTTTCAGTCTTCAGAATGTTGCTTTGCAGCACCTGAAAGTATAATGTGTCTATCTGTGCCATTCATTACTTTAAACAAAAACAAAACAACTTGGAGGGGTCACACCACCCAGTTTAAATTTACAACACGTAATACAGAACAGTGTGGCGCTACAGAAAAATCTTTCCACGACTAATGGATCAGATCACAGGAAGTAAAAGTAGATCTTCACCTCTCTGGAGGAATCTGGTTTTTGATAAAGGAACAAAAATAATCAGTGTCCCCCAAACCAAAATACACTGTAAAAATATTTGTTCTCTGAAGAATGCCAGCAAGAAAATGAAATGATGAATCAAAAGTATTTTGAAATAGTTTGAAATTGTAGATCCATCTGACATATATACAAGATAATATACCAAACACTTGAAACTCAGTAAGAAAACCAACTGTCTGAATAAAAAATTCTCAATACCACAGAAACATTAAAGATGCCCAGTATTGTTAGTCACTAGGGAACTACGGCTTACCACTGAGGTACCCTGACACCAGATTAGCTGTAAAAATCCAGAGTCAATAGAACTGCTTATGCGGCTATAGATAATGCAACCTGGTACATTCACTCTGAAAATGGCATGCAGTGTCTACAAAGTCTAATGTACCCTTTTCCTGTGCCACATCAACTCCACTACTCACATAATATTATCCTTAAAAAATGAAACTGTCTCTTCCTACTAAAATCATACACATGGATGCTATAGTAGACCCTCAGTGGCTGAAACAATAAACTTGTATTACTTGTACCTCCACACAATGGAATGCTACTTAACAGTAAAAAAGGAACCAGTCTCGAAGGATTGTGTGCTACATCACTAGATGACTGTGTTTGTTTGGAATCTGGGGAGCGGGGGAGGGCATATTATAGGGAGAGAGAGCTAATTGGTTAGTGGCTGCCAGGAGTTAAAAGTTGGGGGGAAGATTTGATTACAAGTCAGGCATTTTTATCCTGAAATTTGGAGCCACTGAATGCTTATATTCAGGATGGGCTAAAGTGAATACATGAGAATGGAACTACAGAACATAGAGGAAAGCCAGCGGTGTGTTAGACATCATCCTGGTGAGACCTGAAGATGGCCAACCAGTGTAGAGATGAGAATGCTGCATAGGTTTACAGATGGGGAATGTAAGGGATCGCCTATTGGTGGAGTGGAGGTGTGCTGGTAGAAGAGAGGTCAGAGGTGATCTCTCTGGGAGCACCTTTTCGGTGGGTCATAGGGAGAGAATGCAGTTCAGAAATACTCAGAAAGACACCTGTCAAGGCAGAAATGGGATCGTGTCTGTGCTCTTGTTACCTGAGTTTTGCATGTTTCATAATAAAGAGCCAACACTGATCGACTTACATTCATTGAAAGGGAATGCCTTAAAAACAGAAGTCATTAAATCCCGATGATCAGAAATAAAGCATATTTAGAGGAAACGAATTACGGTACATAAACATAAAGGTAGCACAAACCTGCGGTTCGTGATGAATCTTCTTTCCGAGTAATACCATGCTTCACCTGAATCAGGGCTTTCATTAGATCTTTGCGATTATTTTCACTGGTGTTTTTTAAACGTATTAGGCTCTCCTTAATCTCCAAAACATGGTTCCTACAATTAATCAACTGATTGCCTGGGGGGGGGCAGATATACATGCTTACTCAGTGACTGCATCACATAATTTTCTATAACAAAATATCTTCAATATATAGTATATACAGTACTATATATGAGGATTGCATATATGAATCTATGTGGTATATGGTATGTATATATACATATATATGGAATATATGGTATATATGTACATGTACAGGAGATTAGAAAGAACTAAATTTTATAAATAGTAATACAGAGGAAGCTGGGTTATTAGTGGTTTTTAATTTTTTTTTGCCTTAGCACCTTGGCTCTTCCATCCTTTCTAATTTTTCCACCCCTTCTCAGATAATCTTTTCTCGGAAGTGCACCTGACTTGGGCTCAAGGCCCTGAGTTTGGAACAAAGGGTACTCCAGCTTCTAACAACAGTTTATCTCAAACCTTAGCAAATAGTTTGAAAAGCAGTTGTCCTTTCTCAGTCCTGAGTGGGTGCTGGTGACCCATGCTGGCAATCCCATCTATTCAGAAGGCTGAGGTCTGAGGATTATGGTGTGAAGCCATGCAGGGAGGAAAGTCTATGAGACTCTTATTTCCAATTAATGAGGTAAAAGCCAGAGGTAGAAGTGGGGCTTAAACAGAGGACTGGCCTTGAGTAAAAAAGCCAAGCAAGAGTGGAAGGTCCTGAGTTCAAGACCCCGTACCAGCACAGGTAATCTGCCAACCATCCTGTTATTAATATCCATCTTTATCTTCTTCTTTTTTCTTTTTTAGTATCACTGATTACCACCTGACCTCTTCTGTGGCAAACATTGGATAATGTTGCTCCTCATCTCAAAATCCTCCAAGGATTCCCCTTTTGTTAAGGTCTGTCTCAGGAGTGCTCTAGGATGCAAACTGAAGGAAAGCAAGGACTTTACTTTGTAAACTATGAAATCCCCAAGCCGCCTGCCCCCGGCCCGCTCCGGCTCTTCCACAAGCAGGTGCTGAATGCATGAAGGGTTTGGACTTGTCAAACACCAGACCCAATTTAGAAACTGAAGCGTGCTTTCCCCGGAAGAACTGTAACTAGCTGCAGCATCTCGGCCTGTTCACACAGTGCAAACTCAGGATGCTGACAAACCTGAGAGTGGGTGTGGCACAGCCTGGAAAGCCCTCTGTGACCAGGGTTTCCCAGGCAATATTGTCTTTGCTTGTGTGTTTGGAATTGGTATGTTACGGGTGACGCAACCCAACTGCATTTCCACTGTGCAGGACAGTCCCTGAAGGATCAATTTAGGTAAAGCGTGCCGAGCAAGCGTTGTCTCTAGAGGAAGCAGTATTTACAGAGACAGACCCACAGACACGTTAAAAGACACCATTTCTAATCTTAGATCTTTCTTTTTTAAAACTGTATTTTTATCTTTAAGTAGTCGTACAAAGGGGTAGTTATTCAATACACCAGTCTGGCACAACATCTCCACCATCTTGATCACGCCTTTCATCCTCCCCAGCCCTCCTAACCCCAGCCCGCATCTCAGCTTCCCTGGTTTCAATGGATATGCATTGAATATTATGTCTACTTTCTTCCCCACGTCCTCTCATTTGTCAGCCCCGCTGCTGCGTATGCACTGCTCTGTGGTCAGTTAAATCTACATGTTTAAGATAGTTACATTGTGTGCGTGGCCACTCAGGATTGAGTAGGACAACTTTTTTCAAACCATTTGGCTAAGGTTTGAGACGAATCACCATTAGAAGCCTTGAGTCCCCTGAGCACCTTTCGCAGTACTGGTCTGAACTCAGGGGCTTGTGCCCACATCCAACGCACTTCCAAGAGAAGATTATCTTAGAAGGGGTAGGAGTAGGAGGCACAGCTAAGAACAAGTGCAAGGGTCCCCTGGTAAACAACCAGGGGACAAGCATGCTGAAGGCGTGGCTCAAGGGGTAGAGATCCCACCTTGCAAGCCGGGGGCACAAGACAGAATGACAGGAAAATTTCCGTTTGCTAGTGACAGTTCTACATTCATTGAATGTGTGTGCTAGCTTTCGCTTTGGCTTTTTCTTTACCTATGTCAACCAACTTTCTTTGGGCTCAGGTTGGTGGATGTGTGGTTTTTGTGTTGTTTGGCTCTAGTCCTGGGGCTCAAACTCAGGGCCTAGGTGCTGTCCCTTGAGCTTCATTTGCTAAAGGTTGGCACTCTACCACTTGAGCCACAGCTCCACTTCTGGCTTTATGGTGGTTTATTGGAGATGAGTCTCATAGCCTTTCCTGCCCAGGCTGGCTTTGAACTCTGATCCTCAGATCTCAGCCTCCAGAGCAGCTAGGATTTCAGGCGTGGGCCACCACACAGGTCTTAGACACCTCAGCTGAAAACACATTGGGTGTCGTGTCCAGTCCGACACTGTGAACCTCACTTTGGAGCACTGACCGGTACATGGGGGTTTTCGGCTGTCGTGTTTATTGACTTCAGCGTTGAGTGGGTGACTCACGACCGCCCAACGGAAAGCTGGGGGTCCTGGTGCAATTCACAGCACGGGGAGGGGGGGG